AAGCCCAGCCCAAAATCCGGGCAGGGCCGGGCACCCTCACAGCCGAGTTTTGGGGGGCTGTTTCTCAAAAGCGGAACCGCTAGCGGGGTTTTGCAGGGCGTACAGCGCTCGGGGGGGATTCGTATCCCGGGATTTCAACTTTTTCGGCGCCCCAGAGGGGTGGGAGACGGCGTCTGCCCTCCCTGGGAGAGGTGCAGGGCTCACGGGAGCGGTGCGGGTGGGAGGAACGGGCACCCTCACAGCCGAGTTTTGGGGGGCTGTTTCTCAAAAGCGGAACCGCTAGCGGGGTTTTGCAGGGCGTACAGCGCTCGGGGGGGATTCGTATCCCGGGATTTCAACTTTTTCGGCGCCCCAGAGGGGTGGGAGACGGCGTCTGCCCTCCCTGGGAGAGGTGCAGGGCTCACGGGAGCGGTGCGGGTGGGAGGAAAGGGCGCAGCAGCCTCGGGCTGTTCCTACCCATCCTCTGGGATTTTTCCAGAAGGAAACAGGAACCATGTTTTCAAGCAGCCAGTGCCCAGCATTGTTGGCTCGATCCGTAGCCTATTCAGCATCCAGGCGGCATTATTCTTGGACGTTTCCCTCCATCCTGACGGTTTTGCCCATGCCGTAAGAAATCCTATTCCAGGCCATGGCACCCCTGTTCGAGACCGAGCGTCCCACGAAACCGTGCGGGAACATCGCGGCGCTTTTGGGAATGTGATCTTAATGGTCGCGTACGCACACCCGGGTGAACGCTGGGTTACTTACATGCTTACGGACAGATTCCCCACCTCCTTTCAGGTAATCCCAGCCCTCCACAAGGGTTCTGGGGCATCCGATTCGGCAGGGCACGCGTCCGGGATGCTGAGCAGCAACCTCTGTGGTAGACGCAGGTCCGCGGGAGACAGAGAGGATGGCGGTGTCTTCCTCTGCCCCTTCCCCAGAAGAATAATGTCACCCCACTACTCAGCAGCACGACTGCATGTCAAAAGGCAGACCCGGTGGTGCCCAGGGGTACGTACCCCCATGGGGAAGGGCTCCGGCAGCGCCGAGGGCTCCCTCCCTTCCTCACCACCGCGGCGAAACGGGCACCCTCCGTCCTTCAGGGATGGGTCCCCTCTCCTCTCCCTGCTGGGCCATCCCCGCCTCGCCCCCTGCCTCAGGAGGCGGCCAGGCCTCTGGGGAGAGGCAGGGACATGGCGGGGCTGTGGCAGGCGGCGGGGGAGGCCCTGGCCCTGTGGGCAGGGAGGGTCCCCGGGCCCCAGCCGTCCCTCCCCGAGGGGGTGGCTGAGGAGGGGAGCCCGGGAAAGGATGAGGCGTGCGGAGAAGGGCGGCGGCCGAGGCCTGTGAGGGGGCCGGGGAGGAGAGGGAGCCGCCCTGCCACCTTCTCCTCAGAGCCGACCTCCCCAACATGGCGGCCTCGCCC